GCAACTATTGCGTTGAGAGAAATCACAGGTCAAGACTCTTTCTCATGAGTGGTGCAATATTTATGGAAGTCACTGTAAATAGAAATTTAATAAGTTTGTCTGTAGTTAATGCATTAACAACTTGTTGTATTAAACATATCCAATCAATTAATAAGAATCTGTTATTCAAAGAAGTTTTACGTGCTCGCTGTTTAAAATAAAAATGATTCAACGCTCATGTATCGATCTTAACATAAAGTATTGGGTATTAAGTAAAATCTCATATATATAGGCTCCTTCTGATTGTAATCTCAATTGTGAAAATATTCGTTGACAATCGCTCTATCAGTAAAAACTTTCTGTTACACATTAATAAGGATAATGGCTGACAACATGAACATCTCTGGTTCGTATAATTCAAAATAGTCTTATATTCGATTAATAGTTCAAACTTATAAATGTGTCATTATTTTATGTAGCTCTACCAAACGCCGCAGCCGAAATTCAACGCTGTAGTCGCTGTGGTGCGGGAAAATTGATTGAAGAGTTCACGCGACTTTGGGAAAAGAAAATAAGAGTTTCTAAAACATGCAATGCATGCTCAGAATCCCGAGCAACTTCATATAACTCGACAAACTCTCGCTCAGTACGCTCTGATTCAGTACAAGATGAACTAATTGTAATACAACAAGATGATCAATTTGAAGTGACTGATCATGATGAGCTCTTGTATCATGTTGGCGAGCTCGAAGATATTATTAAAACAAAATTTGGTGCTGATCAAGAAAATCTACCAGAACACGTCGGGTTTGCAGTAGACATAGAATTGAAAGAAGCAATCAGTCATGGATCACAAATCTGATCGACAGAAACAATATTACAACAATTTAATTGGTATGATCGTGACTCCGTTAGAGGATGGGTCGCGATATTACTGGGAGATCAAGAATGTTTACTATGGAGAAAAGAATAATGTTCATAACGGAGTTGTTACGGCATTCCTTATATGCACGCAAAGAAATGATCGAATTCAGCAGACTAGCGATGTGACAGTTATAAGAAGGAGTGAGGCACGTAAAGCGATCTCAAGGTTCTCGTGTAATGGTGGCATATAAATATTAACAAACGGTTAATCAAACTAAGTGTCCAGCATTCCCAAGCCCTGCCTTTGTTGACCATAGATAGAACAGATTAACTGAAGCAAAATCGTGGATTCAAGATAACATAAATAACATCGCAAAGCCAACTAAATTTTATCAAAGACTATCAGAGCAACGATTGATTGATCCATCAATACAAACATATATGCAAGTGTACTATTGGATGTCTTATTTCTCAAAAAAGATGTATGTAACTGATAATAGAAATCAATTACAGTCATCCAAAAATTATCTGCAACAAGCACAAATGGCAGAAAAAGGTTACAAAGTAATTTTCTTTATAGAGAATGACTATGTTCGCGCGTTGGGCTATTATATACCATTATTGGATTGCTTTGGTAGAGATAAAATTACAGAAATTGTTATAGACTCGACTTTCAAAACCAATCGGGAAAAATTCGAGTTATTTGCAGTAAATGTCAATGTTGGAAGATTTGGCGTACCAATAGCTTATCATTATCTGGATACTTACACACCCACATGTCATAATTTACATTCAGATAATCTTGTTACTACTAGAGTCGGGGCTCTAACACAATTTTTTTTTTGATGTTGCGCAGAGAGGGTGTTCTTCCGACTTTTGTTTTGATTGACAAAGATAGTGGAGAAATTGCTGCAGTAGAAGAGGCCTGGTCATGGACAGCGAAAATACAACT